CAGCCCGGAAGACCCACACCAGCCATCGTATTCCGGCCGTGAAAGCCTTCAACAATACACAGATAGAGAAAAAGTCCATTCTCTCCTCTATGTGACAATCGTTCAGACATCTGAAGCCCAAGTAAAGACTAACAACTGAAGTGTTCAACTGTATTTCTGCACCACTAACTTAATGTGGTAGAACCTGACAGAAAGGACCCAAAACAATGGTCTCAAGGGCCAAACCTGCCAAGTACTCCAGGAAAATCCACCCTAGCGAAGGATAATTGAATAGTTGCCAAGAGGTCAGAGAAAAGTAGCAGGGCTGCACTCCCTAGATCCAGTTCCTGGTTCCGGCTTTTGCCAAGGCAACTCAAGTTGTCTTAATTCCATTTTCTGGCCCAAAATCAACTGAAATATTCTTGTCCACATACAGATGAAGGGCTCATATTATGTGGAGTAGCAAAGACTCCTCTGTTTGCCTTTCCTGATTCTCAGTAAGAACCTTCTGCATCTACACTTCTAACAATGCAGCCCCACCAGCAATTGCGCAGTGGTGGGCTCATTCTGCTTCCATCACAGGACATGCAAAAGCTGTGCTTGTTAACCAGCTCTGGGCCCACTGCAGGTTTTTAGACAAGACCCACATTTTAGTCACAAAGGGCCCCAAGTGGGGCTAAAATGGCTACCGCAGGTTCACCCTTCTTCTCCACAAGAGGGTGATGGGCAGCCGCCACATGAATCGATCTGTGCAAGGAGATCAGCTAAGATCCGAGAAAGCGACTGAACTCAGATTTTCACCTTACTCCTTGCCCCACCCCACCCATAACTGAAAGAGCAGTATTCCTTACGAAGCCCCATTCAGATACATGTTTGGCCTCCATCCCCAACCAACAGAAATTCAGCCTGCAAGTAGCAAAGTACCTGGTTTTAATTCGTACCTGCTCCTGCCCTCACCTGTCCCTCTTGGCTTCCGGTGTGATGGCTGCAGCAGCAGAGCCTGGACAAACATCAAATGCCTGGGCAGGTTCGCTCTTCAGAGTATTCACCAGCTTGTCAACAGTCACAGAGTCGTTACTGCTGGGTGAGAAGAACTGAATTCAGGTTAAATGATCAACTATTGCCTCAAACTATTCTACTAGAGAAAATGAACTTGGCTCTTCGTCTGAAGCAATCTCATGAATTCCTGGGAAGGAGTGAGAGATTACACCAGTGCTGGGTCCTGCAAACTCAGCAATAACTCAACCATTGAGAGGGCTAGAAACATTCAAGGAAGACAGATCTACAAATCTAGCAAATCTATTCACGTTGTGGGCAGGCTGCTTCCTAATGCCAACTGCAGAGGAACAATGATGACAATGGGGTAGATCTCCACCTCCTACTTTTGAGCACACCAGAAGCATATGGTTGGCCACTGTGAGAAACAAAAGGCTGAATCAAGATAGGTTAAGGTCAGGAGACCTTATGTGAAGAGTCAACACAGCCTCAGCAGCAGCCCGGCAGGAAAGAAAGGGAACACCTCAACTCCTTGCTAGGCTGACAAACTAGGCTAATAATTGAAACAGGCAGGCATCACTCACCCCATCTCTGAGACTGATTCAGGAGAAAGGGGAATGGACCTTCCCACCTACTCATGGGAACAAGGGACACACCAGATACAGCCTTGAGCACCCTGCAAGGGACCATGAAGCACTGGCCATAGGTGGTATTTTCTTCATGCCTCCCTGTTGAAGAGGCCCAGGAAGAGAGAAAAGAACAGAAATGAACAACTGACTAGACAGATAGGACCAATGGAAATTGCTTGGATTCTTCCATCATGGATGCATTTATAAGAGGAGGGACTCCTAACAAGAGATGGCTGCACCTTACAAACCTGATTTACAGGGCTTTAAACTGAATGCTGTAGGGGAGAGAAGGAGAAGATAGCCCAGAAAGTAATGGAAATACTAGGAACGGAATAGGGTTACTGTATGCAGAATGTTGAGGCACCCAATAATGAGTGTTTAAATACAGGAAGGAATAGGTCACCCAAGGATTAATGTTTCTATGTGAATGCAGAGTATGGGGAACAAACAAGAAGTACTAGAATTCTTAAAATAAGAAGGCCAATATGATTTACTAGGCATTACTGTAAACTGGAGGGACAAAACTCATGGTCTGAATGCAAGGACTGAACTTATTCAAAAGTGATAGGCCAAACAAAAGGGGAAGAGGAGGTGTGGCACTGTATGTGGAAGTAGCGCACACAGGTACTGAGACCCAAGAAACTGAAATGCAGGGTTCCTGTCCAAAGCATTTGGGTAAGAATGCAAGGAAGGGGAAACAACTGCTCTGGGGATTTTGGGAGGAAATGACCATGTGACTTTGAGGTTCTAGACTGTTCAGAAAAGGAAACTTGAGCATAGTCCTACATGCGCACACACGTTTCAAGCTTAAAGGAGAAATACAAGATGGAATGCCATGTTTGGAACTTCTCAAAGTACCATTCCAACAGGTATTGAAAATGAAGAGCCGCTCAGGAAACAGCTGTAGTTGCACAGGGAGCTTTCACTCGAGCTAAAAGGGTGTATATAGGAAATGGAGTCTAGTAGCACCTTTTCTGACTAACAAATTTTGTTAAAAGGTATAAGCTTTTGTGAGCTGCAGCTCACTTCATCAGATCCACAGAATAGCTAAGCATCTAGATCAGTGATTCTCAACCTTTTTGAAGCTGCCCCCCCCCTAAGGGGCGGAAAATTTTTCAATGCCGCCCTTTGTGAAAATCCTGTAATTTAGGGTAGGGGGGGGGAGGAGTTACTG